TCATCCTCCTGTGGTTTGCTCAGAGGCCTCTCTGTCTGCGTGGAAAGCTCTTTACCAATTCTGAGCCTTCGCCAACTCCCACTCCCAGGCGGGCCACGGGCCACGTTGCTCCTGCACCTGCACCTGCACTCCACCTCCCTCCTCCTGCTGGCACCTTGGCGGAGCCCTCCCTGCACTCTGCTGCCGTCAGTTGTCTGCCTTTCTCCCTGGAGGATGAACTCCTGAGAGCAGGGGCCAGATCAATTTCTATTTTTCTGTATGTAACCCTAGCTACCAGCACAGTACCTGCCCTCACAGCAGGTACTTGGCAAACATGTGCTTCATAAACAAATAATAGCATTTTCGAGAGGAAACCAAAGAAAATAAAGGGCGAAAGAAGAAACTGTTTTCACCAAAAGGGAACTGGACAATATACTGGGAAGTAGTGTGTATCTGATTGCCAATCAGAAACCATGAAAATAATTCTCCGCACAATAAAGATTTTTTTTCAAAAAAACAAACGATGCTAATCTTGAAAAGGCTTATAGTATCATTGACTCTAAAAGAATTCTGCTCAAAAACACAATGTGCTTGCCAGGCCGGTGTTGCTCAGTGGTTGAGCGTTGACCTATGAACCAGGAGATCATTGATTCCCGGTCAGGGCAATGCCTGGTTGAGGGCTCGATCCCCAGAAGGGGGCATGCAGGAGGCAGCCAATCAATGATTCCCTCTCATTGATGTTTCCATCTCTCTCCCTGTCCCTTCCTCTCTGAAATCAATAAAAATATATTTTAAATAAGCACACCATAATGTGCTCAAATGAAAATCCCAAAATAGAAAATGCTGGTGGTGCTAGAAATATGATTTGATTGTTTTCTCCTCTTAATATAGACAAGGTTGCAAGGAAATCTAAATTATTCATTGTACATAATTCTAGCCAGGGCTAGGTAGTAGTGTTTTGTCATTCAGCAGAATTATATTCAATGGACTTAAAGTTTGTGGAAAATATTTAAAGGGGGATCCAGTGAATTAAGATCCCAATGAATTGTGATTATTATCATAATCAGAGAGATTTTAACATATATATATATAGGATATCTAAATGGATATTGTCTTAAGGTAGTGTCCTTGGAGAGGCCATTTTTCCCCAGTGATGCTGCCACAGAGCAAACACGTTCATGTCTCCACTTTTGGAGTCATTTTAACAGTGATCCATGAGCCACTCAAGATTTGTGAGACTATTTATTCTGGGTTGTTCCAGTGAGAAAACTAAAATTTTGATTTTATTATTTTATATATTTTTATTGATTTCAAAGAGGAAGGAAGAGGGAGAGAGAGAAACATCCATGATGAGAGAGAATCATGGATTGGCTGCCTACTGCAAGTCCCCCACTGGGGATCGAGCCCACAACTCAGGCATGTGCCCTTGACTGGAATCGAACCTGGGACCTTTCAGTTCACAGGCCAACGCTCTATCCACTGAGCCAAACCGGCTAGGGCTCAAAACTAAAATTTTTAAGTTGGTTTTCCAAGAGATCAGTTTACAACACAATAGAAATAAGAATTTTGTAATGACTGAGCCATCCAACAATGGAATGAATTTTTGGTAATGTAACATTTCCACTGAAGGTGTTCAAGCAAAGGCTAGGTGACTACTGAACAGAAGTGATAAAGAGAGGATCCATGTATTCGAAAGTCCCTTTGAGTTCTGACCATCTGTGATTCCAGGAATATCTGAGTAATCCTATCTAATAAAGATGAAATATGCAAATTGACTGTCACTTCACCACAAAGATGGCGGTGCCCAAAGCCAATAAGTAGAGAATATACAAATTGACATGACAAAGATGGTGGCAGCCAGGCCAGGACATTTGCGTTGTCGCCATGACGACGATGCAGGTGTTCTGCCCCACCCTGGCCACTTCAGGCCTCTGGGCAGCACTTGCAGGTGGAAGGCGGCTCCGGGCCAGAGCGAAGGCGGTGCCAGCAGCCAGGGGAAGGAAGGCCTACTCTTACATGAATCTTCGTGCGTCGGGCCTCTAGTTATTTTATAATCACATTAAATGTGTAGCATTATAATCTACACACATCAAGCCCTTACTTTTCTAGGTCTATGCTCAAATGTCAGTTATTACAGAGATCTTTCCTACTTGCAATATTACTCCCACAATCTCCTTTCTTCCCTCTTGCCCTGCTCTGTTTCTCTCCATGCAGCTTCTGTCTGATATGCTCTGTAGTTGCTGGGTCATTCATATGCTGTCTGTCTCCAGAAGGCTCCATCAAGGAAAGGATGTGGTTGGTTTTTTTTCACTGAATTAACTCCAGCACCTAAGACAGAATCCGACATGTAGTGTGTGTTTAATAAATTGTCAAATATAAACTATATTAAAGTGTTGCAGAAAAATTAAAAACAAGAGAGACAGAAAGGAGAGTAAAATACAATTCCCCTACTTTTTGTACATAAATTACATACCTTCAAATTTGCATATATGATATGGGCCAGTACATAAATGTTGAAGAAATAAACTTGGGCTATCATTTTCATGTATTTTCTTCTCATCTTTTTTTTTTTTCAAAAAACACAAAGGTTTTAATATAGTTTTAATCATAATTCATTGTTTTACCTAAAATGTCATTATACAGATGAATAACTGATCTTCTTCACCACACTTGGCTATAATGATTTCCTGTCCTTTCCAAAAACCAAACCATTTTCACATAAGGTAAGATGTGTTACCACTGAAGTTACACAAAAGCATATGCTCAGGCCATAAAAAAATCTAATGAACTCATCATTTCTAATTTAATAATCATCTCTCTCATTAGAATCATTGAAAAGAGTTGTAGCTATTTTTGGAGGCAGTATACCATAATGAGTGAAGATAATAATAGTTAAAACATTATTGCAAAAGAAAAAACTTGGAGTACTTACACTTGCAATTTCACTATGTACAACAGAGCTATCATGTGGCATTGGCATAGAAAATTTACACAGATTCATAGATCAGATTTGAAAGTCCAGAAAGAAACCCTTACATTTGTGGACACGTAATTTTCCACAAAGGCACCAATGCAATTTAATAGTATTTTTTTAAGTGCTAAGACAATTGGATATTTGCATGCAAGAAGATGAATTTAGACTATTATCTTACACATATGCAAATATTAAGTCAAAATGGGTAACAAGCTTAAATATAATAACCTAACACTATAAAACTCTTAAGAGAAAACATAGGAGTAATTCTCTCTGACTTTGAGCTAGGAAGTGATTTCTTATGATACCAAAAACTCAAGCAATAATAGAAAAATTTGATAAATAGAACTTCATCAAAATTAAGAACATTTGCTCTTCAAAAGACACGAATAGACAAGCCAAATAATGGGATAAATGATCTGCAAATCATATATCTGATAAAGTCCAGAGTATATGGAAAATATATATCCCAATAAGAGACAACCTATTTTTAAAATCAGCATAAAATCTGAATAATTATTTTACCAAAGAAGACATAAGAGAGACAATGAACACATGAAATGATTCTCAACATCATTAATTATTAGAGGAATGAAAGTTAAAACTATAATGAGATACCATTTCATACCCTTGAAATGGCTATAATCAGAAAAAAAGCAATAGCAAATTAGGATGTGGAAACATTTGAACTCTTTTCAATTGCTGATGAGAATGTAAATTTGTGCAGCCATTTGGGAAAATAGTTTGTCAGTTTCTGGAAAAGTTAAATGTAAATTTACCATATAACTCAGCAATTCCACAACTACATACCTATCTACCCAAGAGAAATGAAAACATACGGCCACATAAACACTTGCATATAATTGTTCTTACAGCAGCATTATTTATAATAACCCAAGCCTGGAAACAACCCAAATATTATATATATATATATATATATATACCAGCTGCTGAATACATAAACAAAATATCATATATTATACATGTATTGATAAATGTATATTTCAATGCATATACATTTTAACCGATTTTTAATCTATCTCTGTGCTAAAATGATACATTTACAAAGTCTCATGAGCTATATATTTTATCACATTCATAAGAATATGAGCATATATTTATATACATATATATATAATTTCAAATTAGCTTCTCTTCCGTTTTCAGCCCAGACACAAATATGAGTGCAAATTCTAGCTCTGTGGCCCTGGGCTAGTTACTTGACCTCTCTGAGACCATATTAGTGAAATGTGGGAATAATATTTACCGTAGAATAGAACTGTAGAATTAAATGAGATGAACTATATAAAACGCTTAGCACTAGGTTGGCACAGTGTCAGTTCCTAACAAATCCTACCCAGTATATTGTTTGTCTTTGCGGAGTTTTATTTGCAAACCTAGGAGTTTCCTAACACTCAGGGGTGAGGAGAAGGGAGCCATTTTGCGCCGCGGAGAGGGCCACTTCGCAGTCTGGCTGGCTGACTCCCAATCTGTCACTTCATCTCTCAGAGCCTTGGTTGCCAAAGTCTGTGAAGGAGGACACTGTTCGTCATCTCACCGGACTTGCTGTGATTAGGGAAATTGTATTAAAGTGCTTTGTAAACTACACAATGCCATCAAAAACCTAAAGTGCTCTGTGAGCATAGCTGTCTGTTCCCATCGCGGCGCTTTTAGGAAAACCTGAATAACTAACTACTCCACCCTCAGATGAAAAGGACCCCTTTCATGGCCACGGGGGTGGCAGCCAGTCACTTCAACATGAACTTGTATTCCCCTGTTGTCTGAATACAAAGTGAAAACCTGTGTCTCTCCCTGTCGGAGACCGCTCTGCCTGTCCCCAGGAGCTACCAGGCGCAGCTAAATCTGTCCCTGGCCAGTGTGTGCATAATCCCCACTGGTTCTGAGACCTCCATCCACCACTGATGTGACATTCTTTGTGTTCAAATGTCTAGCTGACGTCTGATGCTTAAAACAGCCCATGCCTTCACCCTCACCCCCGCCGCATTGTCAGGGCCTGTATCACCCTCTTAAAAGGCTATCGCAGCCGCTCCCAGCACCAGTTGCTGGCCAGCCTGCCCCTGGCCGCCTCGCCTGTCCTGGCTGCCTTGCAGGCCCGGGTCCTCAAGCTCCTTGTGTGTCTGACCAAACAGGGACCATGTCTACCTTCGGCTACAGGAGAGGACTTAGCAAATATGAATCCATCGACGAGGACGAGCTCCTGGCTTCCCTGACGGCCGAGGAGCTGAAGGAGCTGGAGAGGGAGTTGGAGGACATTGAACCTGATCGCAACCTGCCGGTGGGGCTCCGACAGAAGAGTCTGACGGAGAAGACCCCCACCGGGAATTTCAGCAGGGAGGCGCTCATGGCCTATTGGGAAAAGGAGTCCCAGAAGCTGCTGGAGAAGGAGCGGCTGGGGGAGTGTGGGAAGGTAGGCTTTCCGGACCTTTTCTTGGCTGCTCCCCGGGCCCCTCCACCCCCACCCTCAACCCCACCCCCACCCCAAATCTAGGAACCTGCTTTCTCTCCCTCTGCAGTCCTCATCTTTTTTCGGTCCTTATAACTTGCTACTGAACACTGTTTCGGGCTGAAATAGTCCTGTAAGTTCTATGGTCACCCGAAGGATCATAATGTGTAAAATGATGGGCTGGGGTTCTAATAATTGGCTAAAGATAGAATCTCCAAGAAGGAAATAGTTCAAAAGTAAGGTATAGGTTTAGATAGTTTGCCAAATGTAAGTCTAATTTGAGTTATAAGCTGGGGATGTGGCAT